TTATCCAAATTTAAAAATTAAACCAACAAATAGTTCTTATATATTGTGTCAAAATTAATAAAAAAATTACAAATTCAAAATCAAAGAATATATAACTAAATAATAATCAAGTAGGATGTTTTGATATAATTATACAGAGAATATTGAGTGATTTTAAAGATATACTAATGAATTCATTATAAAATTAAATTTTCAAATAAATTCCAAAACAGAATATATAACTATTATTAATAATCAAATAAAATTCTTAAATTTATTAATAAATAATTTATGAATGAATGTTATAATGATTAAAGACGTTGATACCATTACTGAATAAAATATATAACTTATCTAAAAATAATAATTATTAAATTAGATAATTTATTCGAATAATAATAATAATAAAATTATCCAAATTTAAAAATTAAACCAACAAATAGTTCTTATATATTGTGTCAAAATTAATAAAAAAATTACAAATTCAAAATCAAAGAATATATAACTAAATAATAATCAAGTAGGATGTTTTTATATAATTATACAGAGAATATTGAGTGATTTTAAAGATATACTAATGAATTCATTATAAAATTAAATTTTCAAATAAGCATAAATAATATAATTTATGACTATATTCTTTTAATTAATCCAGAGAATATTGAGTGATTTTAAAGATATACTAATGAATTCATTATAAAATTAAATTTTCAAATAAGCATAAATAATATAATTTATGACTATATTCTTTTAATTAATAACTATTATACAATTCTTAAGTCTGAATGTGCAGACGTAGCATGTTTTGAGGGGGAAACATATTATTTCTCCACAAAAACTATCATCATATATCATCAAATATTCATCGAACTATCACTTCGTGTCATAACTCTCTGAATTATAAGTAAACTTATTTTTATTCGAATATATAGTTCGAAACTTAATTACCCATATACTATAATTTTTATTTGTATACTTGTAACCATATAATTTAAACCAATTAAACAAGTTAATAGTTTGTTCTTAAAATAGAATAGTTTATATTATTTTGTATATATAAAAAATATGGAAATTATAATATAGTATTTAATTTTAATTATACGTCATAATAAACATTTTTTATATTATACCTTCAAAAATATGGTGTTTGTTTTCCTTTTATGTATAGTAAATATTTTTATTTGAATAATTTTGTGATTATTAATTTAGTAAATATTCAATTATAAACTTATTTGATTCAAGTTATTAACTAGAGTCTAGAGCCTTTTATTATATAGTATTTTAAGTTTATATTATTTAAATTATATAATTAAAGATTGTGGTAGGTGAAATGGTAGGTGAAAAAAAAAAGTAAACTGAAAAGCGATTCCGGATAAATAAAAGAGTGATTTAATGCAATATCCAAAACCAAAGCTCTATTTTGAGTTTTGCCCATTGATGGGTATTAATGGTCAAAATCATACAACTTGAATTAAATAAGTTTATAATTGAAATGTTCAAAATACCCTGAAAAACTTTCTGTTAATTAGAGTGTGAGAGCAAATAATCTCTAAAAAACGTGAATTGGTTTTAACTTTTAGGTAATTTTTAGGTAATCTCTAAAATCATACAACTTGAATTGAAATGTTCAAAATACCCTGAAAAACTTTCTGTTAATTATAGGGTGTGAGAGCAAATAATCTCTATAAAACATGAATTGGTTTTAATTTTTAGGTAATCTCTAAAATCATACAACTTTGAATTAAACAAGTTTATAATTGAAATGTCCAAAATACCCTTTTTAACTGAAAAACTTTCTGTTAATTAGGGTGTGAGAGCAAATAATCTCTAAATAAAAACGTGAATTAGTTTTAATCTTTAGGTAATTCTCTTTTAAAAAAATAAACAAAACAGATTTTTTAACCAAAAAATAACATATAAAATGACAAAAAATTATGAAAGTGATAAAAGATTATTCTGCCACTATTTTATACATATATAAAATAGAAATGAATATTTAAATAAATAGTAAATAATCATTCTTTATAAATTTTTGGAATATTACGTTTTCACTTTTTGAAACAATTTTTAGATATAATTTTTGTATTTTTTTATAAATTTAAAATTATCATTAAATGACACTAATAAACCTAGACTAGTTAAATCATTTTATCTCTTTAATAAAAAGAATATTAAAGATCTCTTTAATAAAAATAATATTAAAGATTATGCTATCACTAATTTATATATGTACAAAAATAGAATATAAATGAATGTTTATTAAAAAAAAAAAAAAAATTTGAATATTACGTTTTCACTTCTTTTTGAAACAATTTTTAAATATTAATTTATATATTTTTATAAATCTAAAGTTCTATCCTTAAATGACACTCTTTAAATTTAAACTAATAAAATGTAGTTAAATTGTTTTATCTGTTTAATAAATTATTTTAGTTATTTTGATCGTTGTGTTTCGTAATTTTTATGGGAAAACAGTTATTGAAAAATTGGATTCTATATACAAAATAAAATCACAAATTTATTATCATTAATATTAACTAATTGCATTTTCTACTCTTTCTTTTTCAGAAGAGCAATTTTCAAATAGCACTTTTGGGTTTGTCACAAAAATAGTTCTAAAAAATAAAATAACCAAAATAGCTTATTTTTATTTTGAAATTTATAATATTTCTTTTTAAAAATTTGAAACTTTAAACCCAAAATTTCACTATTAACTCTAAACCCTAAATCTAGATTAGTTAATCCAATAGTATAAATGCATATTTATCTCTTTAATAAAAATTTATTTTGATTATTTTTTCATATTAACTAATTGCATTTTCTACTCTTTCTTTCTCAAAAGAGCAATTTTCAAATAGCATTTTTGGGGTTGTCACAAAAATAGTTCTAAAAAAAAAAAAATTATAAATTTCAAAATAAAAATTTATTTTGATTATTTTTTCATATTAACTAATTGCATTTTCTACTCTTTCTTTCTCAAAAGAGCAATTTTCAAATAGCATTTTTGGGGTTGTCACAAAAATAGTTCTAAAAAAAATAACCAAAAGCTTATTTTTATTTTGATATTTATAATATTTATTTTTTTTTAAATTTGAAACTTTAAACCCAAAATTTCACTATTAACTCTAAACCCTAAATCTAGATTAATTAATCCAATGGTATAAATGCATATTTATCTCTTTAATAAAAATTTATTTTGATCATTTTCTTCATATTAACTAATTGCATTTTCTACTCTTTCTTTCTCAAAAGAGCAATCTTCAAATAGCATTTTTGGTTTTGTCACAAAAATAGTTCTAAAAAATAAAATAACCAAAATAATTTATTTTTATTTTGAAATTTGTAATACTTATTTTTAAAATTTGAAACTCTGAACCTAAAACTCCACCATTAACTCTAAACCCTAAATATAGATTAGTTAATTCAAGAGTATAAATACATATTTACCTCTTCAATAAAAAAATATTTTCTTCATAGATTTACGAAAATAATTAAAAACGATTGTTTGACAAAAAAAAAACGGTTATCCAAAAAAAAAAGAATTTCTTCTCAAAATCTATTTTCCTTTTTGTTTTGTTTTTTTTTAACAACTTAAATTTATTAATTAGATCGTAAACATAAAGAAATACAAATAATACATAACTTAATGAGAAAACAACAACGGAGAAACTAATGTAAATTGTAACAATACTTCCGTGGTCTGCATCATTAACAGAGTATAAACTCTATTAACACTTTTGCGAGCTTTAAAACTTCGTCGCATCACCAGTACCAATTTCCTTTGTTGTATTACATTGACTTCATCCATGAATAGAGCTATAGATATTCTTCGGTATAAAATCCAATATACTGATTCAACCGTAGAATTTAAAATCTGGAAAGACCAACCTTCAACGATTGTAAGAATATCGCCATACAACAAAGAAAATACATCTTCCATCTTGTATTGTTGCTTTTTCCATGGTGGTTTCCATGGTTTCAACGATACTTCAGATTTATCTATATTTCGATACCAAATATATTGTATCGAAATATAGATTCTAAAAACTGTTTCATCCAACTCTGAAGTTTTTCTTCTACTTCCAAGCTCATCATGAAGACTATTTAACAAGTCTTGTAATTTTCCTGGATCCCAAATTCTCCGACCAAGGCACCATCTATGACGATGAATAAACAATCGTGTAGTCGAGAAATGATAATACCTTATTGAACTGACATCGCAGTGGAACTTTACCACCATGGAGATGGAGGATGTTAGAGTGGGACTGCCGTAATACTGCCCCACGCCGACAACATACTTGAATTCCAATAACCATTTATAAACCAAATGGTCATGCGTACAACTTGTCGTTGATGATGCTTGAAACGAACGAGAATCCTTAATATGCAGATTTGGATCAATAATCATCATTGTAAAGTCAAGACCACTCAGATCCTTGGTTAGAAGAAGAAGAAATAAAAAAACACTAAGAACGTGTTTTTGGAAAAATGCCAAAATGGCCATTGTTAACACTGAAAACTTCATTGTAGATGTGTAGAAGGGAAGAGCATCACCGGAAACAACGTAATTGACAATTGTCGTGACCACAGACAGAATTCGATCAACGAGAGAGGAAAAGTCAATGGCTTACACAATCGCCACTAACCGTCATAACTGCTCTCGTGTTGTTTTCCTTTTTGTTTTGTTATTTGCCAATTGGCCACATAAGCCCAAATTTATTTTGTTATTCCCGAAAAGGAAAAACACGGGAATAACAAAATTCCGCAATGCCCCCCCAATAGCGGGTGTGGCCCGAACAAAGTGACATAACCACCGGAGATGGAGACAATATCACCGGAAGACGTTGACATCGGCGTTGATCTATTCCCTCCGCTCTCTCCTCTCACTTTCTCTCTCTACGACTCCTTCCTCTCCTCTCACTGCTCCTCCTGCTTCTCCCCTCACTCTCTCCACTGCTCCCTCATCCATGACTCTCCCACCCTCTCTCCTCCTGACCTATCCCCCATCCTCTCAACCTCAGACATCCTCGCATCTCTCCGTCTCCTCAACTCCACCACCACCACCACCTCCTCCGCCTCCTTGCCGCACCGATTCGGCGACCTTCTCACCAACCACCACCTCCTCATGGCGGATTCCTCCTTCTCCGTCGCCATCCGACGCGCCGCGAGCTTCATCTCCTCCGTTATGAGGTCTGGGGGAAACACCACCGTGTTGGAGGAAGCGGCTATATGCGCCGTGCTAACGAACGCCGTGGAGGTGCAAGATAGAGCCGGAGTCGCGATAGGGATCGCGGTTTACGGCTCGCGGTTCTCGTGGATCAACCATAGCTGCTCAGCAAACGCTTGTTACCGTTTCGTGATCTCTCCTCACAGTCAGGGCAGCGAAGGTAATGGACCAAAGGTGGTTGTTAGAAGCATAAAGAGGATCAAGAGTGGTGAAGAGATTACTGTGTCGTACATCGACTTACTGCAACCAACGGTTTGTGTTCAGATTCTCACTCAATCTTTTATTATTCTTTTTTTTGAGTGTTGTCTAAAGAAAGTGTGTTCCCTTGTTGTTATAATTAGGGATTGAGACAGTCTGATTTGTGGTCCAAGTATCGATTTATTTGTAACTGTGGAAGATGTGCAGCATCACCTCCGGCTTATGTGGACTCTATTCTTGAGGTATGATTGATTTCCCTAGGCCTCGGGTCCTCTGGGTCCTCTAGTCGGGTTTGGGTCGGGTCTTTCAAGTTTAGCAAATTTGGACCTATTAGGTACTTTTAGTTTTTCCGGTTCGGTTTGGGTGCTGATTTTGAAAAACTTGTTAAAAACCTGTAAATTTTGGGTACATTTGGGGGTTCGGGTATTCAGGACCCGAAATGGACCTTATCCGAAACCCAAAAAATATCTGAAAATATTCAAATATCCAAAAACTATCCGAAATTTTACATAAAATCTGACCAAATACCTGAAAAAGTACCCCCAGTTTACTTGAATACTCAACTATATTTCCAAAAATCTGAAATGTTACCCGAAACCCGAAATTATAACCTAAAACCTAAGTATATTCAGGAAGTGTATGTGTAGTTGCCATAATCTCATTATGAAAAGCTATCCATTTCAGGGAGTTGTTACCTTGGATCATGAAATAACAACAGTTGGTCATCATGACGGAGCCACAGTGGGAAAGATGACCAATCACATCAGGGAAGCCATAGACGATTTTCTATCAGACGACATTAATCCTGAAACATGTTGTGAGAAGATTGAGGGTGTTCTCCTTCACGGCATTCTGGATTCTTCACTGCGGTTACATCCAAGTCACCATGTCGCTCTCCATGCTTACATTACTCTGTCTTCTGCTTACAGAATCCGTTCCATTGATTCTAAAACTGAAACTGACTTGGGGAGGGCTTTTGACATGAGCAGGATAGGTGCAGCTTACTCTCTCTTCCTTGCAGGTGTTTCTGACCATCTCGTCTCCACAGAACTCTCTTTTGCTATTTCTGCTGCAAAGTTCTGGACAAGAGCTGGAGAGTCCTTGTTAGAGCTTGCCTGCAAGTTTTTGATGGGGTCTTCTGGAGAATATGATGTCAAATGCCGCAAATGTCTTATACTTGTTGAAAACCATGATTCTCATAGAGGAATCAAAGAAAAATTAAATCAGATTATCAAGTGTGTCACTGACACCTCACAAGTCACATGGAGTTTCCTCACTCGCGGTTGCCCTTACCTGCAAAAGTTTAAGAGTCCAATTGATCTCAGCTCTACGGGGAGACAATGCAAGAGTGAAGAATCGAGTGTAGACCAAAGGGTAAGCATTCTCCTACTCTCTTTTCATTGCTTACTCTATGCAGACCTTCTGACTGATTTATGTTACGGCCACAAGTCACATGCGGTGTCTTAATCTATAGCTTTGATATTGAGGAATATGTATTTTTGTATTGTGTCATGTCATCTGTTAGTTAATTTGATACAAGGAAATGTTTACTCACAGGAAAATTGTTAAAAGACGTGGGTAATTTACAGTTCAAGGCACTTATGCTCAAATTATATATCAAGAAAAGTCTTTTTGACTCTAGAGCTTTTATCGATAATTTCTTACTGTTGCTACTTTTCTTCCTTGTTTGTAAATGTAAAAAAAAAACCTAAAATTCAAATCAAGCACCAATCTCAGTCCACTTTATATCCAGTAATACGACTTTTTCCCTTATCCATGAGAAAAGGAAGTCTTCTTCTTGAGGCATCTTAAACATGTATTTTGTCAATTAACAAATGTTGCGAAAAAAAAAAAAAAGGCGAACGTAGAAACTTGCGTATTGTTGAAAAAATACAAAAAGAAATTTAGTTAAGTAAATAATTAAACTTTAGTAGATTATTTACAAAAAAAATCTAATTGGTAAATATTGCTTAATCATGAAATCGCAGAAAAATAGTTGAGATGTAGAAAAAATAATACACTTTAAATTATGTTAAAATTTACGGAACGGTAGAATACATATTAAATTGAGTAGAATATTTAATATGACATTTACTTTATAACAAAAATAAAAATATCAATAATTAAACTAATTATTACCTAATGTGAAATAATTGTTAGAACTATTACTCCATATTAGGCTTGTGACTTGTTGTTCGGAATCCGGATCCGAATTGAGATCTGCTTCGGATCAGCTAAAAAATAGGATATATAGGATGCCTGGATCCGGATAATAAAATTTTGCATTCTCCAAAACTAGATCTGGATCTGAATATCTTGATTTTTAGGTTTAGATATTGAGAGCTCGATCCTTGTTTTGAAAATATATTAAATTTTTCATTTTATTAATAATTATGTTTGATCTAATGATATTTTTACATAAAATTAGTCTTATACTATTATAATTTTATTTTAATAATAATATATACATGTATGTATATATATTTATAAATTTTGTATAAATACTTAATTTATGCATTATTTTTTGAATTTGATATTTTATAAAGATTATCATCTTTATGGATCTGGATCCAAGTAAATGCATGTAATAATATCTGGACGGATATCTAAAATCAAGATATCCATGGATCCAGATATTAAATCAGATCTAAGGGAACTAAATATCCTAATTTTTATGGATATCCGATCAGTCTCACCTCCACTCCTTATCATAAATATTTAGCTTACTTTCAAGGAAAAATTGTCAACTTAAAATTTAATTTTAAATACAAAAATATACCTAAATACAGTCAAATGCAAAAATGACCCAGACAAATAATGAAATTATAACCATCTTCTTATGATCAAAACATGTAATTGGTTATACGATTATAACCTTGTTTCTTAGATTAGTGAAGTCTTCTCATGTATTTAATCTTAAAATAATATTTAAAATTTATATAAAAATAGATTTTGACAAAAAAATAAACTAATCATGTAATTATAAATAATTATAAGTGATGTAAATTTATATTTATTAAAATTGAATTGTTTTTAAACGTGACTCTCAACAGCTGAGAGGATATATAGATCACTACTTTAGTTTTGTAATCAACTTGAAGATGGCAAGTAGTGGAAAAGTGTGCCTTGGTTCTAAGTTTTTTCCACAATATCATCCAAAGGTGACTTAGAAACTTGGTGTTACAGTCATAAACAATGGCTTTGGGTATTCCTGCAAATGAATTACCTCTCTAAAAGATAGATTAGCCTTTTGTGTAGCATCATTAATTTTTTTCATATGGTATGAAAAGAACCATCTTAAAAATCTATCAACAATTAAAAAAGAATAGAATCTTTGTGATTGATTTTGAGCAACCCATAGAAATATCCACCACGGTGTACTATTAAGACTTTTTGGATTGACCTCGTAGGATAAACCAACCATAAAAATTTGTCATTTCATATTTAATTTTTGAGAAAAAAAGAAAAAGAAATATTTACCAAATTCTATTATGTTTCAAAACTAAAAAGTAAAAATAAACAAATTAGTACTAACGGCGAAAAAACATTTTTTTCCAATATTGTTAAAGTCATTAGCAAAACACTAAATCCAAAATTCTAAACTTTAAACAATTAATCTTTGGGTAAACTATAAACTCTTGGATAAATCATAAACGCTAAATAGTAAACACTAAATCGTAAACATTAAATCCTAAACACCCTCTGCAAAACTCTAAACCATATACCCTAAACCCTAACGTTTAGGGATTTACCCAAAGATTTAGAATTTACCGAAATGTTTAGAGTTTATCCAAGGGTTAAGAATTTATTTAAGGGTTAGGATTTACCCAAAGATTTCGGGTTTAGTGTTTGGGATTTAAGGTTTAATATTTTGCTAACCGCGTTAATAATATTTAAAAAAAATTATAGTTACTACTATTTTTTATTTATTTTGTACCATTCTATTTAAAAGCAGAATATGATTTGGAAAATACTGTATTTCCTTTTTCTCAAAAACTAAATTAAAATGAATCTACAGGTTCATCCTGAGGTAAACCCAAGATAAACTCCACTAGGAATATGCAAAAACTTATATAAATTAACTAAACCATGTGGCCATTATCCCACAAAATTTACATGATAGGTTTTTTTTACGTATTGTATAATTAAGATTTTACTAATAATTAGTTGAAGGTAATTCTTTATTGTTAAGCTTCATAATTATATAGTGAATCACTAGAGAGATGTATTCACTGTTATTTTTTTTATTTTTTTGCAGCGAATGAAAACAAATGTATAATGCTAGATATCAACTACTTTTACATGATAATACAACCTTCTATTAAAAAAAGAGAAGAAAAAGACAAGTCAAAACAAACACACCACTAAGATGGGCATAAAAGTGAAACCCAAAACTTGTAAACTTTAGCCTCGAAAACATTCTCTCTCTAAGTCATCATCTCTTTGAACTTATCAGGTCAGTTCATCTTCTTCCCCTTTTTCTCTATCTCCTTGTTTCTTCTGCAATTACTTTCTCTTTTCTTTTCTTTTTATCTTTTTTTCTTTTTTGCTTTTAGTTGATGTGTTTATTAGGGTTTTCTTTTTCTACTTTTCAAAGGTTTATATCTTTCCACCTTCTAATTTCTTTGAATTTCTGTTTCTTTTTAAAAAGGATGTCTGGCTTTTTAGAGATCAGCTCCCTAATACCTTTTAATTAGTTGATCTAGAGACTATATATTGAAAAAGTATATGGTTCCTTCTATTGGTCTTGTAGCACTTTTCTTGCTCGATCATACGTTTAGAAAAGTGATCGTTTGTTCCCACTCTCTCAGATCCTCTATTGATTTAATCTACATCGTCTTTATATACAACATAGTTACATGAATATTTCTCTCTATATAGTTTTTGGTTCATATTCTTGTCACTATGTTCTTTCAATAACTTTAAAACAAAAATTATTGTATGTGCTACTTGTGATAGGTTCCACTTCTGTGATTGTTTGTTCCCACTCTCTGAGATCTCTATTGATTTAATCTACATCGTTTATATATATTACATAGTTCCATGCATATATATAGATGTATATGTATAGTTTTGGTTCTATTTTTGTTACTATATTCTTATTATAAGTTATAAAAAAAATATATGTGTGCTACTTGTGATATGCTACACTTTATGATCATGCTTTTATGTAATCACATGGGTTCATCATACGTCTAACAGGGATTGTATAAATTATAATTGAAGCACACATCATGGACCATCATCACTACACTCATCATGATCAATACCAACATCATCAAATGACTATTACTAACAACAATCCCTACAACACCATCATCACCACACCACCACCAAGAACAACAACAGTGGATTCAACAACAATGATAATGGATGCTGAAAGTAAGATGATGACCAGTAGGCCACAAGAACCAAGAAACTGTCCAAGATGCAACTCAAGCAACACCAAGTTCTGTTACTACAACAACTACAGCTTAGCACAGCCTAGGTACTTATGTAAGTCTTGTCGGAGATACTGGACTGAAGGTGGCTCTCTCCGTAACGTCCCCGTTGGCGGTGGTTCTAGAAAGAACAAGAAGCTTCCATTACTACAACCCACTTCCTCTTCTTCTTCTCCAGCCAAGAATCTCCCAGATCTCAACCCTCCTTTTGCCTTCACATCAACATCATCAAACCCTAGCAAGAGTACCCATCAAAATAATAACGACCTCAGCCTCTCCTTCTCTTCCCCTACTATGCAAGATAAGGGAGCTCAAGGACATTATGGTCACTTTACTGAGCAAGCTATGACAGGAGGGAAAAACTGTCTTTTCTCAGCTCCCATGGGAATGATTCAGTTTCGACAGGATTATGATCATGACCACAACAAAACCGATATTAGGTTTTCAATAGATAGAAATAAAGAGGAGATTAGTGGAGGAGGAAGTAAGTTGATGTTTCCTTATGGAGATGGTGCTGGACATCATCATGACCATGAGAGACACGATGATGGTAATAAAAAGAGAGAGAGTGGTTCAAGCAATGAGCTATGGAGTGGAATCATCCTAGGTGGTGATAGTGGTGGACCAACATGGTGATATTGAAGAATATTGTCACAAGGAAAAGACAATAAAGACAAAAACAAATAGTTTCGAGCAAAACTATGTGATTAGATTTGGAGTTTTCAGACCCGGAAGAGTCGCCTTGGGAGGAGCATGATGATTCTTCTTTCCTCTTTTTATAAATTCCTCTGTTCATTTTCTTTGTCTTATATTTGTCTTTTAGTTTGCTTCTCTAGGACCTTTGAACACATATGTGTGGCTAATCCATATTATTATAAATATAGTCTCTTCTATCATATCAGAACTTTATTTGGACTGAGCGATTTTATAAAAAACAACAAAAATGGTATATGCGGTCAAAAATGACTCAACTCATTACGGAACGGGTTAGACGAGGCGGGTTGGACTGAGTGATTAAAATTTTGTAATTAAATGATTTTACGAATTAATCACAAAATTAAAAAAAAAAATTGGACCATTTAATTATTAAGTATACAATATTTCTCAAGTACACATTTCAGATATAACCATTGTTAACTTATTTAGAACATAAAAATTGTCTGAGACATTATAAAATAAAAATTTCTTCATACCCGCATAATAACTTGATCTTGATTATGTGACATTTTATATCATCAAAGCAAAAGATTTATTAATCCATCTGTAAATAAAACAACAAAAGTAATATCCACGGTTTTTAAGTACGGATCAAAAATCTAGTGTTCGTTTAATTTAAAACGAATTGATGATGAACTGCTTAGTTCATTAGTCTCTATCAATTATATATGTTTCATTTTTATTTGCATGTGAATGTCATAATAACTATCAATATACTACTTACTCAAAACTTAGAGTTGCGTAGATTTTATGGCGGTAATCTTGCTTTACAAAACCTTTTTTTCGGACGTCGTGTGTAGATTTGGATATATACAGATATATTGTGAAATAATTATTTTTCTATGCTTTTGTCCAAAAAAAAAAATATTTTTCTATGCTATTAGATTTCAAATCCAACGATTATGTGTTTAGGGACTTATGTGAGACTCAATCTCGAAAGCAAAGTCTAATTTGGAAACTAAGGAGACCTAATTGTCCATGAACGGAATTGCGTATTGAATACAACACACTATGACAAACAAATATATCATAAACTATTCCATTCACTGATGTGACATAGTATACTCATTATAAACACTATTCCATTCACAAATGTAAACATAGTATTCTTATTATATTATTATATTGTAATGAAAAACACACACGACAATATACCTGCTCCAACTAAAGACTATTCTAATCACAGATCGTTTTCTCAAATCCCACTGAGATTCTATTATATTTGTTTTAATTTGTTTTTATTCTCACGAGAAGACGGACGATGACTTCTGTCTCTTTGCATTTTGTTTTGTTTTGCCAAATAGACATCTTTTAGTTAGTTTAGTGGTATCCAGGGCCGGTCCTGGGCCAAACCGGATGAAACATTCGCCTTGGGTTCCCAAAATTTTTAGAAAAAATTTCATGTATATAAGCCCCTGAAAAAAAAAATTTTAGGTCCCAAATCCGACAAAAAGGTTTTTTAGTTGAAATCGTTAAAATATCGCCTTAGGCCCCCAAAATTTGAGGGCCGGCCCTGGTGATATCAGTCTGGATTTCAAGCTATAAATTATGATATATATATCTTGAAAATGTTTACATTGTCTAAATACTAGTCTATATGTCTAAACTATAATCTATAAATCAAATTAAGCATGTAGAACCTAACCGTTATAGATTATTATCTACTTAACGCTTACTCTCTTCATTCCATAATATATTATTTTAACAAAACCATCTCCATTTCATGATATAATATTTTAACAAAAGCTTAAGAATTAGAAAACTTACTTTCTATTAATAATAATTAATATAGATTTATAATGTGTTAATTAATCATAAATAATATAGTAAAATAATACTTGCTAATCAATTTTCAATAAAATTAAAAACCTTGAAAGTATCAAAATATTTTTTATTTTGATACATCAAAACTTCTCCAAGACATCTTATTTTAGAGAATGAAGGGAGTATCACGTATCATTTGTCGAACACTGAATGCATTATACGAAACCAACAACCACCTTTGTACCATTTACTTTTAAGAAAAAAATATCAAATTATACTGACCTGTCACTAAAAGGATGGTGCTAAACGATGCATGAACTTAACTAATAACACAAGAATCATGCATAAATTTCAGTAAAGGTGCTAGTAAGAGTAGCTAAAGGATTCTCCGTCTGTGGCTCCAATGGGATTTTCGAATACAAGTGGGCATTGATCCGTATACTATATCAAGTTGGTAAGAGCATCTCTATTAGTGAACCCCCTTATGGGGTTCATAGAGATTTTTTATTAATTTTTTGGTGGGGTCGTGAACAGTGACAAACCCGTCTCAATTATGCGCCTCCATTAGTGAACCCGAATTCCGGGTTCTTAGGAATAAAATATTATTTTTAAAAAAAAAAAAAAAAAATTTAATACAAAGAGAATATTTTAAAACATGGTTATAAAATAATTTTATAAGGTTTTATTGAATAGATTGAGAATACAATAATGTTTACAACATTTTATTGAATACATAGAGAAATTGAAAACATACAACCATTATTAATTTTGATTACCGAATTTTGCCCATACATTTTCAACTAAATCAGCTTNAAAAAAAAAAAAAAATTTAATACAAAGAGAATATTTTAAAACATGGTTATAAAATAATTTTATAAGGTTTTATTGAATAGATTGAGAATACAATAATGTTTACAACATTTTATTGAATACATAGAGAAATTGAAAACATACAACCATTATTAATTTTGATTACCGAATTTTGCCCATACATTTTCAACTAAATCAGCTTTCAAACGAGCATGTATCTGCGAATCCCTCATCTGATTGCGAATGCCAATCATATTACCGCCATTAAAACTTGGTGTCCTTTCCACATGTGAACTTCTGCTTGACTCTCCCACCTCGAACTCTGATGTATCATACTGAGTGTATCCGTCGCGTTCGTTCTCCACTATCATATTGTGCAATATGACACAAGTTCTCATTATCCGTCCTATCTTTTCCTTGTCCCATTGTCTAGCTGGGTTTCTAACTATTGCAAACCTCGCTTGCAATACTCCGAAAGCACGCTCGACATCTTTTCTGGTCGATTCTTGATGTTGAGCAAAAAGTTCTGCTTTAAGACCTTGAGGAAGTGGGATTGATTGGATAAATGTCGACCATTTTGGATAAATCCCGTCCGTAAGGTAGTACGCCATACGATAATTGTGGTTGTTGACCTTGAAATTTACTTTAGGAGCTCGACCGTGTAAAATGTCATCAAAAACGGGTGATCGATCAAGAACATTAATATCGTTGAGCGTACCTGGTAAGCCAAAAAAAGCGTGCCATATCCAAAGATCATATGATGCCACAGCCTCTAAGANGACAATTGTTGGCTTCGCTGAACCTCGTGTGTACTGCCCTCTCCAAGCCGTTGGACAGTTCTTCCACTCCCAATGCATACAGTCGATGCTGCCTATCATCCCTGGAAACCCGCGTACCTCTCCAACATCGAGTAGCCGTTGGAGATCATCCGCTGTAGGTTTTCTTAGGTATTCATCTCCAAACAGTTGTATTATCGCACTAGTGAAATGATCCAGACATAAATGTGCTGTACTTTCCGCTAGTCGGAGATATTCGTCGTACGAATCTCCAGATTGACCATATGCCAACATACGTAAGGCTGATGTACATTTTTGAAGTGTAGATAATCCGTACCTTCCGTGAGCATTTCTTCGTTGCTGAAAATATGGAACTTCATGACTTAGGCGATCGGTAATGCGAAGGAACAAAGGTTTGTTCATTCGAAAACGGCGCCTAAACATCTCTGGTGTATATGTTGGAGTTTCACTGAAATAGTCATTCCAGAGCTGAGAGTGTCCTTGTTCCCGATCTCTTTCGATATAAGCTCGCCTTGGTGGGTTGGTGGCTTGGGTATGAAGAATAGAGTCGATAAAATTATCAACTTGTTCGTCGATAAAATTATCAACTTGTTCATCTGCTTCATCACTTGATGAGAAAGACATAGTTGAACTCTTCTTCCTTCCTACAACAATCACATATTTTAAATTTTGAGTAAAATATAATAAACAATAATTTTATTATATAACTATTTTTTTTTAACTAAACAATATTATTATTCTTTTTTTAACTAAACAATATTATTATTCTTTTTATAACTAAACAATATTACTATTCTTTTTTTAACTAAACAATATTATTATTCTTTTTGTTACTAAACAATATTACTATTCTTTTTTTAACTAAACAATATTATTATTCTTTTTGTTACTAAACAATGAAATGTTTCACCTACCAAAATCAAGAGAGGAAGTTGTTGGTGCTTGAAGAGAAGTTGTATATAACCAAGAAATGCAGTTGGTGCTTGGAATCAATGTAATCAAGAGAGGAAGTTGGTGCTTGGAATCAATGTAGTCAAGAGAGGAAGTTGGTAACTTGTGCTTGAGAAAGGAAGAGAGTTGATATGAGAAAGAGAGACATATATATAAAGAAAGATTTGTAACTTGTGCTTGAGAAAGGAAGAGAGTTGATATGAGTCGAATATGAGAAAGAGAGACATATATAAAGACTAGAGTTCAAACAACACTCTCACGGGTACACACACCCGTGAGTTTAAGTTACAAACGTGAAAATAAAGTACATAGCAGAGACATCAGTGGACAACTATCACGGGTACACACACCCGTGAATACGTACTACAAAGAAACAAAGACACTTGGAAATTCAAACTTGAAACAGGGACATGAGACTTGACACTTGAGATTGAGACTTGAGACTTCAAACTTGAAACAGAGACTTGAGCATCCCGTGAATCCACAGAGACCTACGAATGAAACAAAACATATCAGTCAACAAGAAACAAAACATATTAAAGCAAAACATATTATTCAAGCAATGTTAACCTACCAAATGCAAACAAGAAACAAAACATATTATTCAAGCAATGTTAACCTACTAAATCAAAGTAAATGAAAACAAGAAAGTAAACTTATTATTCAAGCAATGTTAACCTACCAAATCAAAGCATTTCAGCCATTAACTTGTTCTTGAGAGACACTTCAATATCAGACAGTGTCTCTTCTTTCTTGGCTAGGAGACGTTCCAAGATTTTATGTTTGGAAATGCATTTTTTTTCTGCTAGAATGGACTCAATTTGATCAAAAGCAGCTTCTTTGCCGTGTTTCTTGCGTTTGGCCGATTTGCTAGCCTTCACACCAGGAGGCCTGACCTCTTCCTCCTCCACAACCA